ACTTCCAGGTTTTAGGACGAGTCACTGTGGTTCTCTATAGTGAAGGGTTATTGGTGTGTGTGTGCGTGTGTGTGTGTGTGTGTGTGTGTGTGTGTGTGTGTGTGTGTGTGTGTGTGTGTGTGTGTGTGTGTGTGTGTGTGTGTAGTGTCAGTATGCCTTCCTGCACCAGTGTGTGCGGGACGTCCTGAGAGCGAGGAAGCACCGCAGCGAGCAGGAGAACCCGCTGTACCCCATCTACGAGAACTTCAACCCCGAGTACTGCCGCGGTGAGAAAACACCTTCAAATCCTGTGCAGTGTTTCCATCAGCGGGGAACACTCGCGCTCCAATCGAAGGGACATTTCAATATAATCATAGTTTTACCTCATAATAACTCACCTGTGTTCTTTCCCCTCAGACTTCATCTACACCGGACGCTGAGCAGACGATCCACAGAGAAGCATCGATTAGTCAAAAGGATACATTTCAAATGTGTCGTGCAAAATGTCTTTAAAAGCTGTTTGTTTCGGGACTCAAATATAGGGTTTGTTGCTTTTCTCTGTTTAATATCATACTAAAGTGAACATTTTAGGGTATTTTTCACTATTTTTGATATTTTAAAGACAAAATCAACCTTAAAAATGTATAAAAGTAAGCAACTAAAGACGACCAATTATCCCTTATTTTTTTTATGGATTAAAAGCAAATCGATGTTCCTGGTGTATCACAGCTGTGACATGAAGTCATTACTCGTGGATAAGTGTTACCCGTTTCATTCAAAATGAATAGCAGTAAACAAACCACAGCTTTACATTGTTTGCTGAAGAGCTCATTAATTAGCACAGTTAATTAAAAAAGTGACAGTTATTAATGAACATGGCTAATGAGTTTCTTTAGTGCTGATCTCAGGTCGTTGGATATTAAAGATAAATCTGATTATGAATGAATATAACGGACGGATCACAGGGAAGGAAGGAGCCGTGAATATCAGTAAATATAACTATGTTAATGTTCTCACACACTGCTGCGTATAAGCTGTTTATTTAAAACGTTACACATATTGCTGTATGTAAATATTGGTGTAATACTCATTTTTTATATATGATTATTATAAACTGTATGTAATATTCTGTGTAAAATGAAAGATATAACCTGCTGCATTCAGACTTTACAGCAACACTACACTTTGTATAAAGGTATAAAAGAAAAGTCTGAATACAAAATCTGCAGTAATTCCCATTTCTTATTTAAAGGTCACCTATCATGCTATATTTAGGCAATAGCATAGGTCTCAGATATATAGAAATATATAAAAAACATGTCTATGAAGTGTTTTGCTCCAAACACCAAACAGATCAGCCATTCTAGCCATGCCTCATATCCCTCTATTTCACTTCCTGTTTCTAAAGTGCTGATTTGGGTATAAAGCTTTAAAAAGAGGAGGGGTCTGAGCTCATGCGGGACCCGGCAGCTACTGTCTAAACTAAATGCTGCCGTGATGAAACGCCATATCATGGATTATCAAGGATTCTCTCTGAAACAGTATGGAGCTCAAAGGCTTTCTCTCTTGCCGGTTATACCACAAGGTGACTTCCTTTTTACTTCCTGCTTCTTCACACACATGCTCTCCAGTACAGGTTAGCTCTGACTGTTAGCCATGCTAATGTAAACACCGACCATATTACGTCCAAAACAGTCAGGCATTGTTTCTGATAGCAACGTTTCTGAT